AGCCAAATATCAACAGTACAATGATTGAAATTTCTTTTGCGAGCCAAATTTTTTAAACTTAAGCTATATAGGTAGGTACATTCAACTTTAAATTCAACTTTAAATTCATGGTTTTCGTCTTCCGTTTTTCTTTGTTTCTTCTTTGTAGCCATCTCAAACAGGGCACCTAAAAAATGTTTCATTTTATAATAATAAAGGCACCAACATAAAAGAATTACAATTCTTAACTTGATGACAAAAATACCTGTAGGATTTGCAGCTGGTTGGAAAAATACAGGTAACTTTATGCTTCGAGTAGGTACTTTTGTCACCCGCGCTCAATTTGCGGACGCGACTAGCACTAACCACTGCACATGAGACTGCGGACCGACTGGCTCACTCACCTCGAGCATGAATCGCGCGTGCCTCCCCCGCACTGCGTCTCCTGTTGCCCGACCGACCCACACCCCCCACTTCTTCTAACGCCACTTCTTCAAAACAGACTCGCCCAGGCCGAAAACCGACTTCTGCGCATGGGCCACGAAGTTTCAATCGCACTGTACGTGCGCCCGCACGTGGTATTTTGTGGAAGAGCCACACTCAAGGGGCCAAAGAGCCGCATGTGGCTCGCGAGCCGCGGTTGGCCGACCACTGCATTAGGCCATAAGGATCAGATGAATTTTTCTTAGGAGGAGAGGAGCATAATGAAAAGTGATGTTTTTTAAAAGTTAACTTGTGTTCCCCTGATAGCATACACTACCTTCTATGTGGTCAACCTACTTAGAGCCGTGTGCTTGCTGGTGAATTACCAGCCTCTCGATGGAAGGGCCCTGATTTCATACTCTTCTTTTTTGTAATCCTCACCCGAGGATATTCTTCCATTGATTTTTAGGGAGAGTGGAAGAGAGAGGGAGAGACAGAGAGAAACATCGATGTGGGAGAAACACATCCATTGGTTGCCTCCTGCACGAGCCCCGACCAGGGCCCAGGCTGGGGAAGAGCCTGCAGCCGAGGTGCGTGCCCTTGACCAGAATCGGACCCGAAACCCTTCAGTCCGCAAGCCGACGCTCCATCCACTGAGCCACACCGACCGGGGCTGACGTTATACTCTTTCTACCTCTACTCTCCAGGCTCTGAGACGATCTTCTCCCGGGTCTCCTCCTGCTTCTGTGGCGGGTCCTGCCTCGCTCCTGCCCCTAGACCAGCGGGTAAACGCGGCCTTGCTCAGAGCCCCTCAGCCCAGCTCTCTCTGGGCCAGGGGTGGGGAATGTCCGGCCTGCGGGCCGCATCAGGCCCAAGAACTCACTTGGCCTGGCCCCGCCCAGGCGTCGGGGGCGAGCTGACGGACTGTTTCCCCGCACAGAGCAGGCTCATTTCTAAGTGGCTAACTCTGTGCGGCCTGAGATGATGTGGTGAAGAGCCAGGCGGGCCTTGGCAGAGAAAGGTCCCCCACCTGTCCAGGCGAGGCCCTTCGCCTCCAGGTTGGAAACAGCCTCATGGCGACGGCTGCCAAGCCCCGCCCTCTCTGCTGAGCCTCTCCCAGCCCCACCTGCAAGTCTCACAGGCCTCGAAGACACTGGGCCAAACGCGGGCTCCCTTCCTCCCCCCAGGCCTCCTCCCACGGTCCTCTCCCTCTCGCAAAGGCTACCACCCATCCACCCGTGTGGAGCCAGGACCTTGTGAGTCATTCTCCCGCCTCCTTCCCAGCCTGGCACCCAGGATACCACCCGGGGTGTGGCACGCTCCCCACAGCGCTCTCCATCCCCGTCCTCTCCATCCTGTGTCCTCTGTCCCTGCTCCAGGGCCCCCCCCAGCCCGAGCCTCACCTCTCTCCTTCCTACACGGCCCCTCCCACTCCCACTCGCGCCCTCGCCACGTGCTCTCCACGCTGCAGCCACAAAGGCACACAGCCCTCCCGCACACCCTCCCACGGGCCGCACGGGGGCGAGGCCACACTCCATGCTGCCACGGAGCACAGGTATCTGTCTGGCTGCTCCTGCCTCCTCTCCAACCTCCTCCCCGCCTCCCCCTTCGCCAGCTCCTCACTCGGCCCCTTGCTGCCACCCGGGCTGCTCTGTGGTGGGAAGGCCTCCCCGAGCCTTCCCTGGCCTCTGCTCCCGCCTCAGGGTCTCCTGCTCCTTCCTCAGGGGCCTCCCAGCCTCCGATGGGAACCGGGTTGGAGCACCGGGTCCTGCCCTGTGGACAGGGCTGACTGCTTCCCGCCTCCGTCCTCCTGCCTCTGTGGGGAGAGGACGCAGCTGGCACGCAGCCTCGGCTGAGGACGGGCTCAGCTCCCCATCCATGTAGGGCCATGGCTGTTCCAGTCGGAGGGGTGAATGGGCAGAGGGGGCAAGGCTAGGGTTTCCCCTGGAGTGGCCAGCGGGCCAGGAGCCAGGGCCCGGGGGCGGGGCCAGCCGGGAGCGCAGGCGGCTCCATCACTGACAGGTCCGAGGAACCTGGTGGTCCCTTCACGTTTACACAGGTCAGGTTCCTCCTGCATAACAGGGGGTGACAGTATGTGCCTGCATGTGACTTCTTAAAAGGGTTCAATGAATAACTGTCTGGAAGGTGTGTGACAGCACCTGGCACAGGGAAGTCCTATGTAAGTGTGAGCTGCTGTTATCATGGCCGACGGCAATGTGTTTGCCTTGGTATTTAACAAGGATCGATTCAGCCGGCAGCCCGGAGGGGCTCAGGTAGCTGAGAATCCTCCCGGGCATCGCAGGGTTGCCGGTTCGATTCCCCGTCAGGGCACACACCTGGGTTGTGGGCTTGATCCCTCGTTGAGGAGCTACCGATGACCTGTTTCTCTCTCTCACTGGCACTTCCCTTTCTCCCTTCCTCTCTCTAAGCGTGTCCTTGGGTGAGGATTAAAGAAAAGAAGAATCGATTCTGCCAAAGGAGATAAGATAACGAACATTAGGAGGAGAAATGAAGCTAAAGAAGCAAGGGGTTCCTGAGCTACAGGAAGGCTGGCAGGTCCAAGGGCACCAGAGTCTCCGCCCAGGAGGGATGCAGGAAGCACATCCGGCCAAGTGGCCCGCCCTGGCCACACCCGCCCTGGCCACACACCTACACGCCCTGGCCACACACCTACACGGCACGCTGTCCTTGGCTGAGAAGTGCAGACGGAGGCCCTAGCACTCGAGGTGACCTGGGGACCCAGAACTGTGGGCAAGCCCACGCCCTGTCTCCCAGAACCAAAGCTCACGTGGGCTGTGGCACCAGGCGCCCTCATCTGCCGAGCCCCCTCGTGCAGCCTCAACTCTGGTCCTTGCAGCCACACCATCAGCTCAGGGAAGGGGATGCAGGGGGGAGAGAGAGAGGGAGAGAGAGAGAGAGGAGAGAGGGAGGAAGAAGGGAAGGAGAAAGGCACAGGCCTCTGCATTTTTCACGAACTACCCCACCTGCGGTGCTTAGCTACCCTAAGTGTGTGCATCTACTCCTCCTCCCGCCCCCCCTCCCCCCCAGCGTTGGCCTCTTCATTTTAACTGGACTCAATTTGCCCTGTGCTTTCAGCAGCTTAGTTTTGCCTTTGAGCCTTTCTGGGTGATGACCTCTGGGACCTTCAGCAGCCCGGCAACTTAGAAGCTCATTCCCACACCACACCCACCAGTGACCTCACGGTGGGCGGGGAGACCCGGGGCGTGGCAGGTTGCCTTGCCTGTCTGTCTGTCTGTCTGCGTCTTCTCTTAGTTTCACTGGGAGGAGAGCCTGCGGGGAACCAGCAAGGCCCATTAGAACAGGCCTACGGTGTGGCCTGGAGGCTTTCCTGTCCTATTCGAAACCATCGCCAGCTCCACGCTGGGCAGGTCTGGTTCCCTTCCCAGCAGGGAGCTTAACGACCCCCCCAAAAAAACCTCACTCCCAATCCTTCCAGCTCCCTGCCCCACCCTCCACCTGCAGGACAGAGGGAGCGTGCCAGACCTGCAGTGGGCTCAGTCTTGCCTCCCTTTGCCTTTCGTTTAAACAAGGTGCCTGGCTAAGGTCCGGATAGATGAGAAGGAAGATAATTCTATTGTGACGGCTACTGACCGGGTCTGTTCAGCTTCAACTTATGCAGCTGGAAGCGCCGGAGGCCAGCCCAGCCCCAACCGGCCAGTCCGAGTCCCACAACCACCCAGCGCCTCCGTGAGGAACTGTGGCCCTCGCCCCTTCCCGGCTTCGCTGGGTCAGCGCTGGCTTCGGGGCCCTCCTCGGGCCACCTTGTCCTTCGTTTCCTCCTTTCCTCCTTTCTAAAGAGAGACCCCAAGCCCTGAAGCTCTCAGGCGAGGAGCTCAGCCCGAGATAAGGGAAGGCTCTGCCCTCTGCCCGCAGGCACCGGGATGGTTCCGTTAAGGGTCAGCCTGCTTTCCCCGGGACAGAGGAGACCACTGCCTCTGCCCTTGGGGCTGTGAGCACCGTCACCGCGTCCCACCCAGACCTGCTCCTGCGCCTCTGCCTATTGCTGCTGTCACTGCAGCCCGCCCAGCCTGCCCGGGGCCATCGCCCGCAGCCCACCTCTCTCTCTCTCTCTCTCTCTCTCTCTCTCTCTCTCTCTCTCTCTCTCTCTCTCTCTCTCTCTCGCCTGCTGAAGGGAGGGCACCTTCCCATCCGCACTCCGCGTCGGACCAGAAACACAACCTCATTAGGTTCTGGGCGCAGCTCCAGGCCGCCGCCCCCGCCAGGCGCCAGGCAGATGCGGCGGGCAGCGCCTTCCCCCTGGAGAGGGGCCGGCCCGGCCCCGCCTCCGGGGAGCCCGCCAGCCCCGCGTCCCCCGGCCCCGCCCCGGTGCCCTCTCCTGGGCCCGGCGGCGAGGGCGCCCGCGAGGCCGGGACAGACGCGGGGAGCGCGTCCGTGGAGTGAGCGCTGCGCCCGGCCCTGCGCCAGCGCCGGGACCGTGGCTGTCATCGCGGCTGCGACTCCCAGCCGGGCCCCCGCCCCCCGTCCCCCTGTCCCCCCACCTACTCCCCCTGTCCCCGGGAGCCCGCCCGCCTCCTTCCCCGGGGCCGGGACACCGCCCCTCCGCCCGCCGCTCCCCGGCGCATCCCCGCAGCGGGTCCCGAGTCCCGGGCGCAGGGGGGGAGGCGGGAGGCGCGGCGCCGACGCACCCGCCGCAGGAGGCGGAGCGCGCACCTGGCGGGCCGGGCGGGGCCTGAGCGGTGCGGCGGCGGCGGGAGGAGGAGGAGGCCCGGGAGGAGGGGACGGCGCCGGGCAGCACAGGGCTCGCCGCTCCCGCCCCGCATCCGCGCCGCGCCCGCCCCGCCCCTGTCGCCCCCGCGGAGTCGCGACCGCAGGAGATGGTGCGCGCCGCCCCGACGGTCGCCGCCCCGGGGCCCCTCGCCGCCCCGCGCCCCCCGCAGCTGAGCGCCGCCGCTCCGCCCGCAGCAGGTGAGTCCGGGCCCGCGCGGGAGGGACGCGCTCGGGGGGCGCGGGCGCCGCACCCAGGCCTCCCCGCGGGGACCAGCCGCGCGGCCCCGGGACTCCCCACCCCCCCGCCCCGCGGCGCGCACCTGCTGCCGGGGGAGGGGGGCCCAGCGCGGAGCGGGCGGGCGTCTCCTCTACCGCCCCCGGCCGCCGCTCCCTCCCTCCCGGCCTCGGCCTCGGTGGGCTGTCACCTTTGCGGGGTGCTGGGGGGCTCGGCCCGCACCCCCCGGCGCTGGGCGCGGGCGGCACTTCCGCAAACGTAACCGGAGCCGGGAAAACAAAGGCGCAGCGCGGGGCCTGGTGGCGGGCGGCCGGGAGGGGAGGGCGGCGGTGGAGCAGCTGGGCCCCGGGATCCAGGCCCTGGGCGGGCGGCCCGCTGCCCGGTGAACACCCGAGGGAGCGGGAGGCAGCCAGGGCCCAGGGATCCGGGCCCCCTGTGCGTCAGGGGAGGGACCTGACAGCGTCTGCTTCCCGGGTGCATACCTGCAAAACGATCATGATGATGATGATGATAATAATAATAATAACAATAATAATACCTCTCCCCGGCCGGATGCCGCCCTGGCAGCAGTGCCCACCTGTGCTCCAGCTGGTCTCGCGTCCTCAGAGCCCTGAGAAGGTGACGGGCCCCTGCACCCAAGCAGGTGGTGGGGCATCGGAGCGCAGCTCCCCACAGCTACGGCCCCTCATGGGCACAGGTGCATCCATGCCCGAGGGCCGCACTCGGTGCGCTCCGCCTCGCCCACACACACTGGCAACCACAGCATTTCCTTTCACCCAAAATGTTCACTAGAACCTCACAGAGCTGCTGGGACAGGTGAGCCTCGCCTGTCTGCGGGCGGAGAGAAGCCAGGATTCAAGAGCAGAGGTTGGATCCCAGTTGGTCAACAGTGGTCTGCCCAGGGCCCCGCCTGGCCCGTGCCTGCCTCAGTTCCCCCCTCGCTGTTCTGGAAGTTTAGGCTGCTGTGGAAATCAAACCCCATCGGATCTTAGTCTTCAGGATAGATGAATGTCCAGGGGGGTGACCGTGCGATTGACCGACAACATGTGACGAGAGCAGACGCGCCTTTGGTAGATCCTGTCTGCAGAGCATTCCCTCCCAGGACAGGGCACCTGGCCAGCTGGAGGGGCACATCGCCGAGGGCCGCTGGCCAGTTAGGGGGGCATCACTGAGGCCGCTGGCCAGGGAAAGGGGGCAGGAGGCCTCCTCGTGGGGAGGGTCAGCTGTGACGCTGCAGCGGCCGGTCATAGCGGACATGGAGATACTTTCAGCTATTCGGGCACCAGACGGTTTGTGCGCATCACACGCTGTAAGGTGCAGGCTGCGTGGCAAGTGGGAGGGGAATCGGAGTGGGAGGGTCGCAGCTCGGTAATTAAAGCAGTAAAGCATGTTTACAGCAATTACTTTTAAGCCCTTTATGTGTCTATACAAATAAGGTGAATATAAAAACACGAAGGTAAACAAGAGAGAGAGGTTGGCGGGTCCGGGTACGGTCACCGTCTGTCTCAGTGTAGGGATTAGTCATGGTCACCAGGCACTTGTGTGAGCCCCTGCTCTGTGGGCGGCACCTTCTTCAACACGCGACTTCTCAGCCTCTGTTCTGTGGGCGCCGACCGGGAAGCTCAGCAGGAAGGAACTTACACAAACCTCACAATCAGTGAGAGGTGGGGTTTGATTGGAGCCCGCGGTTCTGGTGCCAGAGCCCAGGAGGGTTCCACCTGCTGCCCTCGCGACTCAGGGCCCGTGAGCCTCGCCACCTACTCAGGTGCCACCCTGTGCTTCTTGTCTTTGAAAATCAACTTCACTGCAACGTCCATGTGTTGCATAAGGTGACACTTATCTCTGTTAGATTCGACATATTGAAAGTGCATCTCTGTTCATGCACACAGGTGTTTCCCCGTGTGATCTCACCATTTCTTAGGTCGAAGGCGAGTGTGGAAACTAATGCAACCAAAGGTAGAGGTGGAATCAGGCTTGTTTTGATAGTGCATGTTGTTTTGCAACCTCAGGTAGGGAGAAGGAGAAGCAGCCATGTGCCGGTGCCTGCGATCCGCTGGAGTAGTGTCTGGGGCGAAAGCAAGGTGCGGTCACTGGGAAAGGAGACTGCAGGAGAGACTCGTGCACGCCACTCTGACACCTGCACAGGGCACCCCTGCACCTCACTGTCCCCGCAGCTGCCCGGGGCCGCCTGGAGGGGGCGGGCGGGGTGGCGAGCGGAGGGAGCTCTCACTTCGCACCTTTCAAAGTTATATTCGGGCTTTTTAGAAACTTTGCAACAGGCACGTGTTCTTTTATTATCTAAACTGAAAAGAGAAACATGCAGAGTGGAATGGATTCGCTTCACAGAAATCCAAAATAAGAAGGAAAACGCATGTGCCTGAACTCCGTAATGTCGGGACAGCGAAATGGGGCTCAGATCAGAGAGCCGGGGGGCGGTGGTCTAGGCATCTGGGGGTGGGAAGGAAAGGTGGAGAGTCCCCGTGACCGTTCCCCACAGCACCCCCTTTCCCTCCTCAGTCAGGAGGCGCTGATGCACACACAGTGTGTCTGCGAGGCTGAGCGGTCGGCATTGCCCGCTGGTCTCGCGGGTGAGTGCTGGCCGCCATGGAGGCATAAATATGGAGGGTGTCCGTTCTGCAGAGGCGGGGGGAGGAGGAGGAAATCCACCTGCCGGTCATCTCATGACATGCTGGCCTTTGCGTGACTCGGGTGTCATTAATGTGGTGACATCATTCAGGAGCAGCAAGCTGTCATCGAGCTCATCTCGTCTGATGCACAGACGGTGTCCCCCCAAAATGTAAACACACTTTTCTCCTGGCGGCTCAATCGGTGTTTCCTCCCTTTCAGATTTAACCCATTGGAATGAATAATTATTCAAAAGTGTGTCTGCATTTTGGGGGGACATCTTCCCTATTTATGACCTACAACCCCGCAGTGCTGCTCAGTTTTCTATAAGATGAACAATAACGATTGCTTAGGATCCTGAAAAGTTAATACATTCCCTGCTGAGACTTAGAAATCTAGAGCCAAACACAGTCAGACCTTTCGGAATCAAGAAGACACTCTCGTGTTTTGTGCACGGAAGGAAGCGGGTTTGGTTTAGTTTCCTTTGAATCTGATGGAGAGTCCTGAGGAGCTGGGGAAGGTAAGCGTTTTCTCCAGAAGAGCGGTTCTGACCGTTCTGGGTGCCGTCCAGCATTACGTGTCAGGTCCTGCTAGTTTGGGCTGAGGGCAGTGTCAGGCTCTTGACTGAAGCAGCTCTGTGCTCACCAGCTTCTCCGGAAACCCCGAGATCAAGGGCACAGCCCTCCCTGGCACAGAGCCGGTTCAGAGCAGGGCGAGCGTGGCATCTCCCGGGCACAGCACCTGGGTTCCTGGGAAAGGCAGGCAGGTGCCTCTGATGGGGAGTATGTGTGCGGCGATGGACACACCCTCACGCCCGCATCCAGAACAGTCCGTCTGGGCGTGGTTCTCAGTGTCATCAGCATCAGCGGGCGGGGGCCACGCGTGGCCTTTTCCCGCACGTGGAGGTGCGAAGGCCGGTGTCGGCCTGATGTGGGGCCCTGCGCCCCGAATGGCAGCTCGTCCGAGACAGCCTGGCCGGGATTTCGGCGACGTTTGCTCTGTAGCTGTGTTCTGCGCTCCGTGTGACAGATTGTTGTTTACTGTTGGGGGAATGGCAGCGTCTAAATTAAGTCAGTTGGCCAGGCAGCTTTTGGAAGCCATCAGAGGCATTTGCTGAGACGATGATTTATTGGTGCCGAGCCCGAAACAAAACCCGGCCAAACCCAAACAAAAAAGAAAACAAATGTGAAACGCATGGACCTAGAGCCTGTGTCTGAACATCGGTCAGTTGTGGAGGTTGCAGCTTTGGTGGTTAGTTCTCGGCTCTAAACAGCACACACCCCCCTGCTCAGCACCCACAGACCTGCCGGTGTTGTCTTCTAAGCATCGCCCTCTGCGCTGTGGGGTGCTGATGGTGGGCTGAGGGCTGTTAAGACTTGGAAATGCGGATGAGAAGCTGGTGTGCCCGGTGCCCGGCGTGCTTCTGCGTGTAGGATGTGGGGTGGGGTGAAAGGTCATGCGCGGGTGACAAGAAATCCAGGCTCTCAGGAAAACCGTGTCCCAGCCCTGGCTGGCCGCTCGGTCGGTTAGAGTGTCATCCAGGTTTCAGGTTCGGTCCCCGGTTGGGGCACAGGCAGGAATCGACCAGTGATGCATACACCAGCGGAACAACGATGCTCTCCGTCTCTCCCTCCGCCTCCCTCTCCCCCTTCCTCTCTCCAAAATCATTGAAAAGACCAGCTGTCCTCCAGAGGTGCGACAGGGGCTGCCTCCTCTGTGGCATCCGTTCTGGCTGCACTGAGGAGAGAGACAGTCAGGAAGCACCCTGCCCCTGGGACCCAGGGAAGGCCAACCTGGAGTGACTGAGGACACGTGTGATCTGAGGCCGAGGGGGGCTGAGGGTGAGAAGGAGACGGGGAGTGAGTCATTGTGGCCGGAGGAGCCCAGGGTGGCTCCTGGGGAATAAAAGGGGAACTGGAAAGAGGAACCGATGCCGCATCGGCCTGATTTGTGGGTCACTGTGCCGAGGGAAAGCGGCGAGGGCTGGGCCGGAGCACCTCCCTGCGGTCAGTGCTGAGCAGTCCCAGGCCAGCGGCCGGGGCTCCCGGAGGACTCCGAGCCCGGCACGCGGGGGGCAGGTCCCCCAGTCTGTGGAGGACTCACCCCTCACAGCTGCTCGGGGACGTGTAGGGACCAGGTGAGGGTGGACACACCAGGGCCCGGGATCAACAGGCCTCTCTCAGCGGAGCAAAGCCCACAGCCCACGTTGAACACAGAGCAGCAGCTCACAGGGACGTGGCCCCGGCTCCGACTGTTAGAGAAATGCGGTCCCGGGGCAGACCGGGCTCCTGGGCTGTTACGGTGCCTTCCTGCCTGTGCTGGGAGCGTCCGTGGACTT